GCTCTCTGCCTTAGACTTCTGGACACCTCTGGGATTTGTGGCGCGAACTGGCTCGAGACGAACAAGTCGCCACACAATTTAATTATGCAATGTAGAAGTAGTGCCAAAAAAGAAAAATACAAAACAATTTCGACCAAATTATGGCGACACCTACCATACAAAAATTTCGGCTTTTAGACTACTATCGAAAAGAATGCAACTGTAATTCCAACATGTGTTGTTAATCAGGTGAGGGAAAAATTTTTAAATAAAAACGATGATTACACGACGATCAAAGAGCATGATGTTAATTAATGTATTTGGTAATTTTTTTACGGTTTGTAACGTTATTTCCCGGTTTTTGGGAATTTGCAATTCACCACACAACAATTCACCACCTTAACAGAGAAGTCAACAGGTACAAGAAATTATAAGAAATTTCTAATAAAAATTAACGTATAAGTAAACAACCGGCGCAACAAATGGGCGCGATGTTCTGATTAGCAGTAATCGTAAGCACGTGATAAATTCGGCGTACCTATACTGCTTCTTGGGGGCGTCTAAGCTCCTATCGCATCACGTTTTGATAATGATACACGATACTTTTGAGGGATCGCATCTCCTTTATTAATAATTAATTTAATTAATTTGGATAATAGGGTGGGGTTTTAACTGTTACTCTTATATTTGTTCTCCATTTTTTGGTTGCAAGTTACTTTTTTGGTTCACACTCCTCCTTAGGGTATTGTTCTTAGCGACAAATTGCATTAACTTTCGAAATTTGTACTCGACCTATCGTCAAACCTATCAATAACGGCGCTCCACGTCCACTTATTATGCCACTCTCTTTGCGTGAAGAAGTTTATAGAGTTATTGCAGACCCTAACAAAGTGGGTAGAAACAAAAGCCCAAAAGAGATACGTTGAAGTCACTTTATCATATAGTTGAACCTGACAACGCTGCGGTTTCTAAGGAAAGCGGTGCTTTAATAAAGTGGCCGTAACATAAATGTTGTCCGTGCATTTTGAACGAATTTTTAGATGGCGGTAGACGACAACACCACATAATAAAGTGCAATCGTCATTTTCGTATCCGGAACTGCACCATGTCGGTTGTGCTGATACCGGGAGGGAGGATTCGATGCCGTCTTCGATAGTGTTGGGATTATTATCAAAGTAATTACTTTATTTTCTTATTCATGCTTGACTATTTTATGATAGTATAAAACAATGATGTTGATAATGAATGATGATGTGATTAATAATGCACTAAATATGGTTAGGTTAGGTTAGGTTAATAATTCCAATGCCAATGCCAGCCAATAATGCTGGTGGGCGGACAGTCACTCCAGACTACGCCGGAAGCTAGGGCGAAAGGCTCTCTTCAGCCTGCTTTCAGGAATCGTGGGAATGGGTGGATGGCGGTTCGGGTCAGAAAGTTGAAACGGACGAAATGAAGACAGAAGAGAATAAAAGTTTATTTGTGGAATATTACTGCCCCAGCATTTTCCTAAGTGATCCAAGGAAACCACAGAAAAACTTAAACCAAGGCTGACGGACCCGGAATCGAACCGGGGCCCTCCCGAATACTAAGCAGTGGTCTAAACCTCTAGGCCATACGGCTCGGTATACAAATGAAGAATAACTTTAAAAAAACTTTTGGGTGTTTCATTCCCACCAGCCAGTAATGCTGGTGGGCGGGCAGTCCCTCCGGACTATGCCGGAAGGTAGGGCGGAAGGCCCTCTTCAGCCTGCTTTCAGGAATCGTGGGAATGGGTGGGTGGTGGTTCGGGTGAGAAAGATGAGACGGACGAAATGAAGACAAAAGAGAGTGAAAGATTATCTGTGGAATATTACTGCCTCAGCATTTGCCTAAGTGATCCAAGGAAACCACAGAAAACTTGGACCAAGGCAGACGGACCCGGAATCGAACCGGGGCCCTCCCGAATACTAAGCAGTGGTCTAAACCTCTAGGCCATACGGATCGGTATACAAATGAAGAAAAACTTTAAAAAAACTTTTGGGTGTTTCATTCCCACCAGCCAATAATGCTGGTGGGCGGGCAGTCCCTCCGAACTATGCCGGAAGGTAGGGCGAATGCGAAGCAATGGTCTAGACCTCTAGGCCATGCCACTAGGTTATTATACAAATGATGATATGAACAAAAATAATTTAACCTAAGGGGGAAAAATTTGAAAACTGATTGTTAGAAAGCTGACACTTTAGTATGCTTGTTCTGGTGACAATAGTTCCTAAAACGACTGACTATTGTAAACTTTATGATAGAGATATAAATGAACTTAACTGTTCAATGGACTAAGGGTTGAAATAAACTACGGCTAAAACTATCGGTAAACAAACAAATACATACAAAGAAAGACTTCCTATAATGTTATGGTCCAGGTAAAATCCGAAATATTGAAGAGACGTTATGGCCCAAGTCTCCGACAACGTAGTTCAGGCTTGTTAAAAAGAATGTTCGAAACGACCGTTTATAACTTTTTTTATTTTTTGTGCGGTGTACGCTAACGCGCTTTTAACATTAGATTGCTAATACGCACATGTACATATATATTAAAATTAGGTTGTTCCGGTATGGATATGAAATACAAATGTGCTAATCATACGTTTCTTGAATTTATTATCTTATTAAATTAAATCATTTCGTCAACACTTTGCCTTTCATACTCTTAGTCGAAATAACACAAGTATTTCGTTCTGCTTATGGGTGATTCTACGATAACATGTACTACTGGTGGCTGATTGAAAAAACCATACATTAGTTGAGATTTTGTAGAAAATGACAAACATACATGATAATAAACAACGTTTACTTTGTTATCAGTAAATTTCAATACCTTAATTAATATAGTTTAGCTGTAATTGCATGTTAAGCCTGAAAAAGGGATCTAGGTACCCTAGCCTTTCCCTTTACTGTTTCGCAAAGAAGTCAGTGTAATTTAATACATTTTTAATTAATTATAAATTTTAGCATTATTTATTTTATAAAGAAGTGTTAGTAATAAAATGTGAAACAAAAAAATAAACTTACTTTTATTTTCTTAAAAAAAAATACGCAACTTTTGTCCCTCGTATTTTAAGTCTCCTACCCTGGACATTTTACATCCGTTAAAAAATATCGATAAAGTACGTGTCGTTAAAAATTTAAATCTCAAAGCATTAGCGTGCTGTTAAGACAGCAGGTAAAATTGGTCTGTGTTCTGTCGAAATTGTCTGCGACGCGCAGATGATATCCAAAAAGATCGTAATCGCGATCCTCGTCTGGCAGTTTCGACAGAACACAGACCACTTCGAATTATTTTCGGAAATAGTAGAAATTCGGGAACATAAGGAATATTACTGGAAGTTCTGAAATTCGATATATCGAAAATGTCATTTAATAAATAATGGTAATAACAGTACAAGGAACAGTAAAGTTCTTCTGTTGAGATCTCTTCTCATATTATTATTATTGATAGTGATATAAATATATTTTAATTTAACTATACACTCAAATAAATTCAATAATAAATTCTATACAAATGGGAAATAAATAATAGCAGACAATTTCAAAGTAAAAATTTAACTAAGAATTTATTAAATCTGAATGTCATAACTAACAAAATAAGGTATCTGTAAGGTTTGCAGGGCGTCTCCATCATTGTGTCTACCTGCTCAGTGGAAAACGACATTGTTTCTCGCAGACAACTGAAGTAGTCAACTTCCTAAACGCCTTCTCCATTAAGAAGCTGGGCAAACCCTCAACCAAACCAAATTACAAATCTTTTTGATTTTCGTGTTATGGAGTAAATTTTCTTACTTGTTGGAACCGAAAATTCCAGTATTATTAATTATGCTAGGAAAATGTCGATTCTGAAACTTTTGTATACCGCAATTCTTTTAAAACTGGGAAGTATAATTAATAGGGAAGCCTTACTATGTTGCTTATTTACTTTTGAAATAAGTAAAAATAAAAATTTTAATATTAGCTTACGCGTAGGTACCTAAATGGTAATATACAAATTAATATTTTTTACACCTTTAGGCGGAATAATTTTTAGGTAATTGCTCAAAAATAAATTAATTTGGTAATTTGACATTAAAACTTTTGTATCTACTTCTGCACCCTTACTCAACAATGAGTAGGTATCTAAACTGAAAATCTAAAAACAAAACAAACTCGCCTCTCTCGTGCCAGTTCGTGCCACACACTCCACAGGTCTCCGATGTCTAAGGCAGAGAGCACGTCGTCAGCCTTACTGATAAGTCTCTTACTGATGAGTCTAGGCGTGCTCTCAGGACGAAATATCTTCTCTCTCTTTTCTTTAGACAACGAGATATCTACAACGCTTAACTTGATAAGACGCTGTTATTAACAATTTCACAAAAATTTCAAATTTCTCAAAAACTACTGGTCACAGATACCAACACCCCTATATCAGTCGAACGGAAATTTAATTTTGCACGAGAAAAAACATTTCATTTAAATAAAAGTTATATCTGTTTAAATTTGTGGATATTGACATCGATAAATATCGTACTATTTATAATGTACGTGTCTACCTGGTACTTAAGATGATAGAGAATTTCTTCTAGAAAGGGAATATAAAGACCGCAAACCTCTAGGTCCTTTCGTTTCTGAGATATTTAAAATGGAGCCAAGCACTGAAAACGTCAAATTTTCCAAGAGACGTGAAATAACTCCAGAACGGTGCGACATTCAAAAATGCAATAAAAAGTAGGGGATTTCATTTAAAATAAGTTACTGTACATTTCCGGTATAACCGTAAGTCCGCTAGATTTGAAAATATTTTTACGATATTATACACTTAATTCTATATAACTTTTATTTGAAATACTTATTCTCACTCATTAAACACACTGCTCTCATTCTATTGTATAATACTAATAACTCTGCATTAAACTTACAGCTGATTAAAACTTAAATAAATAAATAAAATAACAGAACAATGAAAATAATCACAACTTGTACAAAAATTGCTTTTATTTGTTTTTACATAAACTTTCGTATTAAAAGACTTTTTGATGTAAAAAAATTTTAAAATAATACGAGTATACCACTAAGTAAAGTAGGTTTCAGGGTATAAGATATCAAAAATGGTTCTAACAAATATCAATTTTTTTAATAATGTTTGAATACTGTAATTTATAATTTCGTCCATTTTTGATATTTTACATACTAAAAGTATTTTTCGAAGTATACCCCGATTATTTTTAAACATTTTTATCAAAAGTAAGTACTTTTGTGCTACGATGACTGCAGTGTACTAGGCTTTTCAGTTATGCCACAAGTACTATCTTGAACCTGTGTCATTTGTAGAGCACCTTTGACTGATGCGTATTTAACTGGAGTTGATGAGAAATGCTTTGACGATAAAAATCGATAGATATATGGATTGAGCAGTTGAGCGTCCACGGGTTTTTCTTTTTCATCTTTGGTGAAGTGGCTTACAATGAGACCAACAACAATTATGCAGACCAAACCAACAAGTGGATAGTAATAAAAGGATATTCGGAAGAGCCAAAAAACTTGTTTGTTGTCGTCTACAGAAAAACTAAAAAAATTATAGATTAGTGGATAAAAGCGGTAAACTTTAAATGTATAATTATTAATAGCAATTCTTCGACCAGCGCCTTTGTTTTAAAGTGANATTCAATCGCTTATAGACAAATGCAGGGGCAGTAATATTCTATCGATAATCTTTTACTCTCTTCTGTTTTCGTTTCGTTTATCTCATCATTTTCATTCCAACCATCACCCACCCATTTCTACGATTCCTAAAAGGAGGTTGAATAAGGTCTTCCGACATTAGGACGGCAAAGCTATAAAGAATCGAAATCCGGGATTTACTGACTTTTGTTACAATAATATTGAAGCTGCGACATAGGAGCCATTTGATGATATTTGTTTGTACACATATTTACCTAAACAAGGAACGAAATTATAATAAAAAGGGTTACAAAAGAGCGAACGCTAGAAAAACACTGTCAATGCTAAGAAACATAAACACACTTAAGAAGCGATAACAGATGTCAAGAACGAAAAGAAACGTACAGGGGAATGAAAGTCACATTGATTGCAACAAACAAGAAATGTTTGTACTTCGTACTATTAAACCTATACTCGTCTAGCACTTCTATATATTAATGGTTGGATCTGAGCGGAAAATTTGTTTCCATTAGCGTGGCTAATGAGTTCGAAAACTTCATTAATCCATTACTGAAAAGAAATATGAAAAGATTAGATCGTATTGGAAAACTCGTCGACTGCGCTCTGATGACGATGCCCTCAAAGGAACGACTAAAAACATTACCATTATTGAACAATCACAGAATCGATATTCAATAAAATCGCCAAAGGAGGATATTAGTACCTCATCAAAACATCGTTGCAACAACAAGTTAACAATTAAAAATTGCCGTCTCTCGATACTAGTGAAGTTAACATTATTCTAATATTATAAATATGAAAGTGAATTTCGTTTATCTCACGCTTTAACTACTCAACCCATCATCATGACATTTTGTACATACATTGTCAACGGCACAGAAAAGGACATAAGGTACCTTTTATCCACAAAGAAAATCTTTTTATGTGGTCTTTGATGATTGATACGTATTAAGGACATCAACGCTAGTGAAGCCTCGGGTAAAACTTTAGAATGTAAGAAAACCTTTGTTTGTATTGTTACCAATGACCTATAGTTACTTTTGAAGAGGGTGTGAACCGAAAATTAAGGTTTTAATGTCTCAGAAAAAAAACTTCAAATCTCATTTTTCTGCGACGATCCGTTGCCGAAATCAGGGACTTAAAATATTACATCTCAATTCTGAGACGTCACAAGGGCTTCGTGTAACTATAGCGCTCACATTTCAGTGCATGCTATTAGATAGAAATACGTTAGTTGTGATTTCGTTCTGATTATTATAGACGGCACACAGGCACATACAACATGTTTTATTGGTCGAAACCAAAACGTCAACCGTCTCTTCTCACCTCACAGCTACAGGTACAAAGGTGCCACCTCGGTGTTCCAACTCCCCCCGGCTATTACCCTCAACTAACACCAAAAGATTGTCGGTGAAAGGAATGATGGGGGAACCTCTCCTTATATTCTCTTAGTAGGTCATCCATCATCAGGTTCTAAAATTCCGGGTCGATTATTACACTCTTGTAGAATCGGATGCTTTTGCTATAGGCCCTTTATCGGTCCCTCGCGTTCGGTTGTCCTATCCTGCGAGCCTTTTGGGTTCGCTTTCTCCTACGCCTCAGGTCGTTCTTTTGATTTCGGAGATCGTTCGTCCTTCATAGAGACATTGCCGCCTAACCCTTCGCAGGATCTGATCGTTCGCGTCCACCACCAACTCTTGCTACCTTCTCGCTGAGGAATGACCTCTTGAGGTGAGTCAAGGGACTGTCCCTTTGAAGCACCTACTCCTCTCAGTCAGACGAACAGGCATCTTTGATGGACCACGCTGGAAAAGCGGACAGCTCTCCGGTTGGCTGCACATACAGTGATCTCAATCAGGAAGGGATTGTGATCGCCAATAGACTAGTTGGTTAAGCAATGTCAATATCGCTCACTGCTACGGCCGTCTCGTAGGCGTACTCCTCCGTACGGACGATTAAGGCCTCCAACTTATTGATCAAGATAACCTGTTCCAGACTCTCCCTCTACTCTCACTACCTTCACACTTCGGTCCGTCATGTTTTTGCTATGACACAGATGTGACTCATTATTGACCGATTAACAGCGCTCGTCGTCTTCTTGTCTCTATGAACTGTTCAATACTCCGTATCCCGTATACTGACAGACATACAACTCCACGATTGGATCATTTACATACGCAACGCCTTACTCTTGGTCAGATCTTGGCCGAGGTCAACCACTACTACCGCTTTGGGATCTTGTCCACCTTGTTTCCTCACAATCGCCCTTCCCGAGGATAGTCCTTGAATACCGTCCTGACAAGCCCTTCGCTGGCTGGTAGCCATGTCAGGCACCCCACACCGACGTGGGTATGTCAACCGAACGGGGCCTGCTCTTGCATCACCGTCGCTGCCGTCTCTGCCCTTTCCGATTGGGCTGAAACAGTAAGCGTTTCCTTATCTTTATTCATTGTTCCTTGCAAGCTTGTGGTTGTTCTTAGTGCCTCACAACCACTTTTAAAGTGTCGCCCGCTAACAAAATGGGAACCCCACCACTACAAGGTGACAACGAAGTGGGCAGTTCTAAGTGGACAGCACAATACACGGCACACGTATACATATGTATCAAATCTTTTTTGCCGGACCGTAAAAATAGCGATTCCGAGACTATCGAACGTACCGTCTGTCGAACACCGATAACCCAATACCTCTCGCGAACAAACTCAACAATCCTTAAGCACCAACATGTAATTGGTGATGGGTGAACTTAGAAAATAAAACGCAACACATTGGTGTATTTAGCAGGTAGAATAATTAGAAAACGAAGGTTTTCTAGATCGTCTTTCCTAGAAATAAGTAATTTTATGTGCATCCAAAAGAAGAAGCGAGTGAACGAATCGTTTCAGAAGCTTTATTAGAAATGCCATCCTGTTGAACAATTTTAAGAACGGATACTTCAGCCTGTTTAATCTCTTCCGTAGTTAAGTTGATAGTATGTCTTTTCTTTTGATTTTACATAGAAAGGTAGAGTAGTATTGGTCCAAACTGAAGTTTACCATCCTAGAGACCAAAGTTTTCTTCCGTTCTTCATCTATCTCCTCCTCCTCTCACTCGGGATTCTCTTTGGGCTACATATCTGCGGTTTTGTAAAACCATCCTGGAACCTTTTATCTTTTAGAGGAGTTCATTCTCTAGATGGAAGATCCGTGGGGTTCAAGTGACCGGGTAAATATCTCCAAGCGGCAATAGGATAGAATTTGCGAATTTATTTTATTCGATTCCAAATGAATGTGCTCCACTCATCTTTGCGGCGAATCTGTTGGATAACAGTCAAATAGTCACTCCAGAAAAAACATCCATGATTGAATTTGAGACCATTACTGACAGAGTCATAAAGTCTTTCTGTAATCATAGCTTCAAGGAGTTCCAGACGAGGTATTTATATCTTCTTAAGGGGAGCCACTCTCGATTCACCGCTAACAATTTTTTTAACTTTAACAGTGGTGCTTTTGTTCAAACTAATTTGTCCCACCAAACAGCGAGCGTACAATTTTTTCAACCTTCCCTGTATTATTAACCCGATTATTGTCCGAACTCGAATTCATTAATGGCAACCCAAAGGCTTCCGTAGCCAAAGTAATGCACTGTTCATTTTGAACTTCATTTCTCAAAAAACTCACAAATTTTTCAATCGGATCTCGATGTCTGTTACTCCATCTATCTGAGCCTGCCCGCGCTTGAATTCCATAGATAGCTGTCAAACTCGCAGCAAGCTTTAGGGTAAACATAAGTTAATTAACGCTTATAGCATTGCCACACACTCTATAGAACTTATCCTTAATGTTTAAAGTGCACGCAACTGTGTCTCTAGTTTATCGTACAAAACCGAAAAATCTGTTTTACTCAGTAATCGGGCATTATTTAAAATAAACTTAAATAGTTCGCGGACGTAAACCTTTATTTGCAGGTCTACCAGCCAAATCTGTTGGTTAGCCCTTCTACAATATTTGCATAGTTGAACGGCAGGGTCACTATCCATGGGTTGCCTAGCATAACTGCCAGGTATAATCGTCTGAATAAGATACGCCATATTGTCGCTCGAATCACTATACGCATCTTCAAGCACTTTCTCGAATTGAGCCCAAAGTGGTTGCCAATCTTTAACGTCGCCTCCGTATTTTTTCCATTCCTTTTAGGTAGTTTAATTTACGCTAATCAGAACTGGTGTTTAGACTAACAGTGCTGCCTCGTCCTCTGGCTCTTTCTGAAAATTGTACTGTAATATTAATTTGGTAAATCTCTTCATATATCTATCGACTGCATTCATTTCATCCACCAAATGTACCTCATTCACGGTCTGATTCTCCAAAAGGAAGAACATGTTTCGTAATTTCCCAGGCCACATGGATTGCTTGAGGGTAACCCTGTGTTTCTTCAAACAATTTATCTAACCCGTTCGCATATCGCGTGAAACCAACTAACAAAACTCTATCATTTTTCCTTTTTTTTTTCTATATTTAGCATACTAACCGTTATAATCGATAGTTCCGAAAACTGATGGCGAACCCGATCAAATCCCCGCGTACGAACACGTGTCTACACAAACGAATGTTCAACCATACGGTAAAAGCTGGTTAAAATTTTCTTGAAAACTTCAGTCTACCGCCAGAAAGTCCTGTCACAGTCGCCACAAAATGTTGTGACCACAAACTAAAACTACTTGTTTCACTGCCAGACACAGATTCGAAAAAAAGACGATTCCGAAAGTTAATTCGATAAAATCAATGTTTATTAGATAAAGAAAGTAATTGATAACAAAAACATAAATGATACACTTATACAAAAACTATAAGGCTTAAACGTAACAGTAATTCTTAAAAATTTTCTTCTGTTATTTAACAAAGC